CAAGGCTGGGTTATTGACGGCTGATATATTTCACCACTATTTGGGCTGTGGTCCACTTAAGGGCCACCTGAGGGGTTAATTTTCCTGCCACAGGAAGCAGTTTCAAAGGACAGCAACTCCAGAGAGGAGCGTGGGACTTGAGGAGAAAGTAATCAGCTGTGGTTAGCGAGAGAGAGACCAGTGGGATTGCTGTGATGCTGGATTGCTGTGCTGCAGTGCTGCAGGACTAACATTCTTGGGAAGGGATTTCCCCAGGTTTGGGACTTTTATACAACAAGTCCGTAAGACATCTTTAAGTTTTGTTATCTGTGCCAAAGATTTGGACTTTTACTTTGAGTTTGCTGAAGATAAGCGTGTATTTGTATTTACCGTTTTTGGCTGTCATGCAAGAGAAAAATAAAAGCTTTTGTTTTATGCAAAACCCTCTGTGCGAGTGCTCTGTGAGTTCCCCAACTTCACACATATTACATGGCTGCTGCAAATTTACTGAAATCTGTGCTTATAGCTGATTTCTCTTTGTTCGGCTTTGAATGTTGTGCTTTATTTTTGTAATGAAAAATGTAATAAACTATTTTTGAAAAACAAAATATAACCTAGTTTTGTTTCTTAAAACGGCACCATGAATATTGTTATTGAGTAGTCTGCCAATGAACACCATATTCCTATTAGACATGTAGAGCATCCAAAAATGTGTTTGGACTTCAGATCCGAATTTCAATTTGGTTTGTTATTCAGATTGATTAAAACATTTTTGTTTTCGGTGCAGATCAATCCGAATTTCTTGGAATTTCTTGGGGTTTTTTTAAGTTCCGATCTCTCCAAATGTTTAGCTTTTGGTTCGGATAAAAAAATGTTGTGGCCATTTTAGTACTGTACTGATCATCTTAGTCCGTACTGGTCATCTTAGTCTGTACTGGTCATTTTAGGCCGTACTGGTCATTGTTGTCTGTACTGGTCATCTTAATCCTTTCTGGTCATTAGAGTTGGAAATTTAAACATTCAGATGAAATTCAGTAAAAAAAAAAAATTATTTGGATTAGTTCGAATTTGGCTGCATTAGAATTCAGAAATTTGGATGCATCTGAAATTTCAGATACATTCAAATGCATCTTAAATTCAGATATATTCAAATTGAAAAAATTCAAATGCATCCAAATGTCCGAATTTAAAGAAATTTGTTCAAATTTCAATTCAGAACAAAATGAAACTTAAATGCCTAGTTCCTTTTTCACTTATTGCCTGGGACCTTTCATGGTAAGGAATCCTATCACCATCCTGCAGCCTTCTCTGTGCACTTTAACCTCCCTGGCGGTCTGATTATCTCCATTTTTTTTCTTCTTGTTTTAACTTTTAAATCTCCCGCCGGTTCCGCCCCCCCTGTGACGCGGGCGCTCGCAAGGGACGTAACCCAGAAGACGGTTGCCGGCATGGGCCAGAGGCCACAGCAGGGCAAGGGTAAGCGACGCACAGTGGACAAGGTAAGCGACGCACAGTGTAATCCCGAGTGCGGCTCGGGGTTACCGCTTTTGGCACTGAAAATTAACCCCGAGCCACACTCGGGATTACCGCCAGGAAGGTTAAGACCACATGAGTAAATGTGTCATTGACAGCTCTCAAAGATCTTGAGTTCCACTGAAATGCACTATGATTTTATTCCTGATAATAAAGAAAGAGTTGATTTACTGATGGAATAAAGAATGTTCTTTGAGCAAAGTGACTGTTCATTTAGATTGTAGCGCTCAGCCCAGAAGGAGCCGCTGAATGCCTGGTTCATCTCTAGTCTGTCTAGGGTATGTTCTTCAGCTGCCCACACATTAGCATTAACCGCTCTTCTTCTAGTGCCCACAGACTGATGTCCACTCCAGTAGTAAAATGTAGAATAATGGTTTATTGAACATCTTCACCGGGGAGAGAGGGTATGGGGATTCTAAGCTTCCAGGGGTAACTGACAAAAGCTCCAGACTCACCAGACCTGGTTGGCATATCAGTGTAGATCCACTTAGGAGGCAGCGGACAGCAACTGAGGTAGCAGATAAACAGGATGGATACAGATCCTTAAACAAGAAAGACACCGATCATACTCCTGAAGTCCTCTTAGTTCCAGGATACTTGGAACTTGGTACTACAACCAGCATTGGTCCCGGTTCTCCTCCTCTATTTTTGTGAGTGTGCCATGATGCCTTTCTACTGTTCTACTGTTCAAAGGCCATTTCGTGTGCACCTTACTGTATAACTGGTAACAAATTGTTGAGTGGATTTTCAAAAGGGCACAGGTTCACCTTATTTGCTATCATTTACTTTGCAATGCGAACATACACTTTTAAATGTCAACATTCCTTTTACTAAGGTTAACAACCTCTACTCCTTTAGTAAATCAACCCAACTATTGGTGAGTATTTGTGTAGATGAGGTCTACAGGTATGAGTGGCCATATTTGTATTGTAATTTGTTCAGTCTCCTGACCCTATAGAAGTGTAACAAAATGCTGAATTTCCCACTGTAGATGATATCTTTTACATGAAAGGAGATAGAACACATATTCTAGTAGAATTTCACATAGCATATGTAATTTACAGTTTTAGTGATATAAAACAACAAATAAATAATGCAAGAATAGAACAATTACATTACAAACAACTAAAACCATTACCACGATTCAATCATATAGAATATGTCATGCCATTAAATCTGAGGGACACGTAAGAATACTATGAAGAAATACCATCAATATACATGTAAATTCATATATATATTTGTCACGTGTCCACATAGCACAGTTCAGGCTCCCTGTATGTGTCCATATCACTTAGAATCCATGGGAATGCCATGGATTAGGCCCACATCTAACAGTTATAGATTGCAGTTTTATATTCTGCTCACAATACTTAGTTTGGCAAAATAAGTGTTCTGCATCCCTATGTAACAGGTTATCCTGAGCATGTATCTCTCTATATAACGGAGGGACAAAATCTGTATATCCTAGAGAACAGGTGCTGTGTGCCAAAATCTGGTTCTACCTCAGATGCAAATATATGATGGTGAACAAACATCAAAGAGTCAAATTTGACAGATCATTTATGGCACTTGAATCAACACAGTGATCCCCGGCATGTAAAGTCCAACATATACACGTGATATGTACAGGATGCACCCCAGATGAACACTTAATTCTGTATCTCAGAGAGAAATCCTCTCTTATAATCTTGTGCACCATTCCAAAAAGCAAAGAAGGTTCTAATAAACAACAGAAAGGATCTGACCCCTGGACATATCCAAAGTTGTTGTTCAGCATCCAATAAACACAGGTATGTCCATGTGTACGGGGCCTCGAATAGTAACAATAGAGACCAATCAGCATATATACATATATTCACATGTCCTCTCCTGGTTCCCCTAGTATTCCAACACCACAATGTAACTTACCCTACCGCACCTCACGCACCGCCCACAGGTAAACATTGCCCCAGGACATGTGTTGGCCATGGTGGACTTGGTGCAGAAACTGGGGGAGTTATGTTTAAAGATAAACACAGAATTAATGATTCAAAATATGTGCTTGCTATGATACATTATAATTTCCCTTGAACAAGGGAGTTAAAACTCCAATCACTATACCAACAGTCTTATTTTTATTATACAGGATTTATATAGCACCAACAGTTTGTGCAGCGCTTTGCCTTTTTCACACCATGTCCATTGAGCTGCGTATGGTGTGAAATAAACACTAGCAGGGTTATACACAAAAGGGTGAAGAGTTTGGAGAAGGCCGGAGAAATGAACAATCTAGGACGACATAGCTGATTTGGAAAAATTCTCCAATTCGGCTTACTTTCCAAATCAGCTATTTTGTCCTAGATTGTTAATTTCTCCTGCCTTCTCCAAACTCTTCACCCTTTTGTGAATAACCCTGATAGAAAAAAAAATGCTTTCTGTGTGCCCTGTTCACACCATACATATACTGTAGCACAATGTGCATGGTGTAAACAAGCCCTTAGTCGACCTATATTTTTTTCCTTTTTGTTGAACAACAAATTACAGCAAGTCCTGTCAGAAAGAGTGTTGTGAATATGGCAGACTAATGAAGCATAAAAAGAGCAGTGTTGTGACAAGGCAAAGGGGAACAGCACAACGGGCATTGACCGCAGTATAACCATTAAATTTGTCAAATTACTTCAGGTGCTCCATAATTATAGGCTGCCAGCAACTCTTTTATCTGTGCAGAAGTGTGTGTTATTTAACAGCTTTCACCATTGTAAGAAAAAAAAAAAATAACATGCTAGAAAGATTACTCTAATCATATAGGTACATTAAGCTTTAAATGGAAGACAAGCCTTAGAAGCAAAGATGGCATAACAAGTGTCTTCTTAGCATCCAGATAAAGAAATAATAGAGCTTCAATCCAGAGCAGCCGTGCCTTACATCTGTCATATAGAATGGGATAATAAACATAGAGTAGTCCTGATCTCTGAACTGTGTCTAAGTTGCATCTCACAATGTGGCTTTATTTTAAAGATGTTCTTTTGGTGATAAATGTGATGGAAATACTGTTCTATGTATAATTATCTTATTTTGTACTTTTCCTGTTAAATTTTAAAACGGTTCAGTCTCTGAGAGGAAGGAAATAAAGAAGGAAGAAAATAACAAAAAAGAAAAAAAAAAAGGAAAAGAAAAGGAAATAAATGGAAAAAGACAGAAAGGGAATGAAAGGGAAACAAGATAGTGAAGGAAAGTAAAAAGGAGAAGAGAGGAAATGAAATAGGAAAGAAAAGGATGAAGGGAAAGAAAATGAAAAAGGAAGGGAAGGAAAGGAAGAAAATAGGGAAAGGAAAAAATGAAGGAAAGAAAAATAATGAAAAGGAAAAATAATGGAAAGGACAAATAAAGGAAATAAAAGGGAAAAGGCAAGGCAAGGAAAATGGAAAAATAAAGGAAAGGGAAAAAAAGGGAAAATAACGGAAAGAAATAAAAGGATAGGAAAAGGAGACGGAAGAAGAAATGCAGAGGGAAAAAAGTAAGGAAAAGAAAAGAGAAAAATAGAGGTAAAGTAAAGAAAAGAAAGTAAAAAAAGGAAGGGGAAAGAAAATGAATAGGAAAGGGAAAAAATAAAGGAAAAGAAGGGAAAAGGAAAGGAAAGAATAAAGAAAGAAAGAAAATAAAAACATAAAGGAAAGGAAAGAAACATGACAAGGGAAAGGGAAAGAAACGAAAAGAACAGAAAAGTGGATAGGAAAGGAAATATATAAGGGTAGAATCTTGGAATCTATTATTTCTACCATGACAACAACAGAAAATTGACCCAGATTGTTAGTTCTTTGATAAAAATAATAATTACAAGAAAAATCATTTTAAAGTAATAGCCCAGCAATTCTGAAAAACAAAATCGGCTATGGCTTCAATACTAACCTCCTCTCTCCCCAGAGACTCACATATTCTGCAGTTCAGCACCGGTCCTCTTCTATCTTGAATAATGGCCCTGGTGCTCTAAGGTCCGTTGACGTCATCAAGTACAATGCAAGCTCCAAAAGCTCTGCATTGTATGTGAGGATGCAGAGGGACAGTCCACAGCCGAAACTGAGGGTGAGTTGTTTTACCTGCCAAAGGATTTGTATTTCTGTCCATCCAGTTCTGATTAACACACAGCATTTCCTCTCTATTTTGCTACAGTTAAATAATACAACAGGTCTACTCACTCCCCCGGGACAGTAAAAGGTGAAGAAGAAAACTGATGAGTTCATCACCTTGCCACTCTGTTCTCTCCTTCTGTCAGCATGTCCCTTTTTAGCACATGAGCACTGCAGCACAAATGATTGGCTCACTCCTTTTCTGAGCTCTTCCGTACAGAGGACTTCAAGAGCCTGATAGCAAGTCAAATTCATTAAAAAAAATACATTTACTGATGTATTCATGTATACACGGCTGCGTAAATTTGTATCTTTTATACCTTCCCGGAGTTTAGCTTTAAGCCAATGAAGAAAAAAATATATAGTTTCCAGCTCTTATTTATAGCTGCAGTTCTTTCTGCTTCTCTCACTGGTATATATTCCCCACATGCTGAATATAGGAATAGTAGGAATAACTACGGAATCACTGCACAATTGACACTGCCTTCGATTAGTGTTTTGGCTTATTCCTGAGTGCGTATTTGAAAAATGCTAATTTCAATGGTTATTTAGCAAGATTTTGTCTTTGTTTTGTATTCACTGAGAAAACTCTCTGGATCTTTGTCTATTCTGCGAGCCTGACATATTTAATTTAATTACATACTGGTACTGTAACAATTGCCGTGCAGCATTATCGCTCATTTAATCCCTTCAGCCTAGAGGAAAGAGTCTGCTAACGATTTTCAGGTGGTTCAGCAAATCCTACATCGAGATTGGTACACAGGATAATACTAACCCAATGAGTGCCAGCTGGGTTCCAAAACAAGGCTGAGGAGGTGGGTTGTTGCCTGTGGCAATTATTCACTTTCAAAATGCAATTTTCACAGTGTTGGTTAGAAAACGAAACAGTTTTTTTTTTACTTTATAGTATGCCTCTTGGCTGTTTCCCCCACTGTCGACCAAGCTTTGGGCCACTTCCTTTCCAAACGATCTAACACAGGGGAGGACATAGAGGCAACCACTATAATCTGGCTCTTTTATTTGTGGGACAGTTTCCAATGGGCTAAAAGTGCATGTGGGGGAAGGTGAGTATTGTCCCATTTAAAACAACATTTTTACATACATACAGTACGACAAATAAAGGAGATTGCAAGAGATTAATTGTAAGCAAGAGACTCACTTTAAAAAAATATCATGCCTTCATCATAATGAACTTTATTATTCATCTTCCCATTGCTTCATCTGAACACAGTGCACAGGACTGTCCCTATAATGAATCTCATTTGGGAGTGGTAGGGGGACTGATTTTTTTTATTTTTTACTTTTTTTTTCTATCTATCCAACTTATTTGGGAATTAATAATGGATAAACAATTTAAAGCAAAAATAAAAAATCAGCATATAAAATATACCAATAATATATACATAAACCAAAAATTCAAGTATGTCTTTGAAGAGAATATTGGAAAATAGTGGGAAAGGAAGTGAAAAGTTTAGGCACATTCACACTTAAAGTGACACTAAACTCAGGAGTTTAATCTTAACTATGCATTTAAGTACCCTAACTATTGACAAAAATGTATCTTATTTGTGTATCACTCAGCTCACATATAGTTTACCAATTTGTATTGAGATTGTAGCCCATCACAGGAGCGAGCTTGGAGCGGTGACTACTTTACAACACACACAGGGACCATGGGGAACAAAAGTAGCCCCCTCCAGCTGGAAGGACAGTGTCACCATGAATTCAGAGATGATTTGAGGATCTACAGCCGAGTGATACACAAATAAGATACATTTTTGTTAATAGTTAAGGTACTTGAATGCATTTTTGAAGATTTAACTCCTGAGCTTAGTATCACTTTAAAAAGCACATTGATGAATTTGTGGCCTGTTAATGGGATTTGCTGTGTGTTGCCCATTAATTTTCAGTGGGCTCTCCATCCCATCCATGGGTCAAAAAAAATGTACCTGTCTAATTGTTCCTCAGCGCTCAACAATGCAAAGCATGTGTATCCTTTTGCATGTGTTGCAGGGTTCTAAAGGGTGGGTGCGTTTATTTACTGAATGTATGCGAGTTGGAGCACCATTGAAAATGAATCACATTCTCCCTTAAAGTCATATCAGGCCCTTAAGGTCTGGTAGGAATTTTAAGGAGGAACCCCACCCCTAAAAATGGGGGGGGGGAACATGGGGTCCCCCCTAAAATTCCATACCAGACCCTTGATCCGAGCATAGGCCTGGCAGGGTCGGAAAGGGGGGGGGGGGGGGGGAGGGAGCCACACCAGGCCACATGCCCTCGGCACTGGGAGGGTGTCCCTGTACGGATGGGGAGAAGGGCCTCGTCCCCACAACCCTGACCCGGTGGTTGTAGGGGTCTGCGGGCAAGGGGGCTTATTTGCATCGGGTTACCCCTTTAATTAAGATGCCACCCCCCTCCCTTGTGAATGAGTAAGGGGTATTAAAAAGTCCAGACTTTTGATAAAATCCTTTATTTGGAAAAAAACAAGACATGTTTTTTACTTTTATTTAAAAAAAAAAAATGTTGATCCACCAACGTAATCCAGGGTCAATCATGGCGTCCAGCAGTGTCCACGACGATGACAAAATAAAAAATAAAAAATAAAACAATAAGAAATAAAGAGAAATAATAAAAAATTTAAAAAAACCTGCCGGCCGCCGTCCCGTCCGCTCCCCGCCGCATAATGGTATTTTGACAGATGCCGGCAAAAAATACACAATTAGGCGGAGCTAGCGTTGACAGCTTGCTACGCCCAATTGTGTAGTTTACCGACATCTGATAGGCAGGCTATGATTGGGCAGAGTCATCATGACTTTGCCCAATCATGGCTCTAATTCAACACTGAGCCCTGATAGGGGAAAGTCTTGCACTTGACCTGTGGTCAGGTGCACGACTTTAACAAATCAGAGCTTCAGAGGGCATTTTTCCTTATGGAATGTCCGCGGCGAACGCTCGAACTGCCGATGTTCGATTCGAACTCATGTTCGAATCCAACACTCGGCTCATCCCTAGTTTGGAGAGGCAAAGGGTAATAATGGTTAAAAAATAGGTAAAGCAGTAAGGGTAGTGAGGACATATACCTGATTCATTGAAAAGAGGGGCTATGAAGAGGAGCTGTAGGAGGGTCAGAGGAAAGAGAAGGTTCTGGCTTCAGATGGGGTCAGCTGCATTGGAGCAGCACCCCATCCTCTTATTTAGAATTTAGGGACAGTACTTATTGTAATTACAGTGTGTGTTTTATTTTGTTCTGAAATTGTCTGTGAAACCGGGCAGAGTATTAGTTGTCTTTGAAGGACAGCATCAGCAGGTAATATTTAATTGAAAACGGGGAGGCATCTCAGGTATGGCATCCCTGTGGTAATGGGTCTTGTAAAGATTCATTTTGGTAACTGCAGTTGTGTTGGTAATGCGGCTGGAGCCAAGTGTGCAGATACTAGTTGGTTTGTTGTAAAATGACCTTCTAAGACTTAATCCTAGTTGCAGTTATTCTGTTATTTATTGTTTTATATTTATGGTTTAGAAGGATGTTATTTGCCTTTGTAGCTAATAAAATTGCTGCTGTGGCCCCAAAGTACCAGCCCTGGTGTGGTTTCAGTTAATTTAAAGGGGTGAAGTTGGGCGTGGATTAGGTTTGCCAGGTGACACCAGGACAAATACAATACCCTTGTCAAGACAAGAAACAATGGACATCTAACACATTGATTAAGCTCTTCATCATCCTGTAAGCTTTAATAAAGAATAGAGAAACAAATTATTTATTATATTTTCTTTTTGAGAAGTAGCCCAGAGGATTCTCCACCTAACAACCTTGTCCATGTAATTCTCTCCTTGTCCATGTAATTTTCATCCTGTAGAAACGAACACAGTGGCTTAGTGGTTAGCACTTCTGCCTTACAGCATTGGTGGTCCCTGGTTCAAATCCTGGTCAGATCACTATCTGCAAGGCATTGCATGTTCTCCCTGTGCTTGCATGAGTTTCCTCCCAAATAAATGCTGGAAGGTTAACTTACTCCTGTCTTAATTGGCCGTGTATGTATCTTAGATTGTAAGCTTGTGGAGTTCTTTGAGATGCTGTGAATGGGCTGAGTCTGTACTCTGTATGGCATATGTGCTGTACAGTGTACACAAAAAGTAAAAAATTGCTGGGAGAGTATGATGTAATTTTTTTTTTTTGCAGAAGAACCAGGCAAAGTCTCTTCTACCAAAAAAATCCCGACCTTCCAGCAATTTGTTTTCCTTTTAGTTCTGCTTTAAAGGGTAGCTGAGTAATTGATTATGCACATATTTAGAGTTAGTTTTGCCGTGTATACCTTAAAGTGACACTAAACTAAGGAGTTGGATCTTAAAAATGCATTCAAGTACCTTAACTATTAACAAAAAAGACAGACAC